TTCAGCTACTGTTGTAATCGTTATTGGAAAGGATATTGGTGACGATTTTTTTTTTTTTTTTTTTTTTTGAAAATAGACTGGATTTATTTATAGGGAAGACAAAAGAGTCGGGATACGCAAGGAGATTGGGAATACGAGATGTAACATAGGGTTATCAAGCTCAAGGACGTCAGTCAGATTTGACAGCTGTCACGCGATATCTTTGGCTAAGCACCGTTTGACAGAATTATGACAGTCGAGAGTGAGAGGATTTTGTCAATAGGCCTTGGGAAATTGGTTATTCGATTGGTCGGAGGGAAGAAAAGGTCCTTTTATTTTTTAAAGATTTTTCGATTTCCTATATAACCCGCGAGTAAGAGAGAGACGCACTTATGGGCGTTCGCGTGAATATGAGAGAGACGGACGTACTTTTTACTTCGAATTTACCAATGATTATCGAATTCACTGTGTTTGCCGTAGGCGAAACTTTTAATGGGCATATAATTGTGGAACGAACTTTTTTAAAAGTATTTTTAATGAATGCCACTGTGTATACAGAGTGGCTTTCCTAGAGGCTTACGCGAACAGAGGCCCAGAGACCTAGAGGAGACACTGTATCAAAGAGGAGAAACGAAAGGACTCGCTATTATCGCGTGCTAGAAGCACAAAGGGAACCGAAGAATGCTCCTTGGAGATTTGGATGAAAAAAAAAGAGTCCGGAATGTCCAGGAAAACTACGGCAAGAGAAGAAACAAGGGAAGAAAAGAAATGGAGTGAAAAAATCAAAAAAGGAATCAAGATGGTTTCGTCGTTTACGCGGAATAGCTATTTATATAAAAAAAAAAATATATATATATATATATATAACTCGGTAACGATAATTACTGAAAACGTATATCGTTTGGTTAAAAAAAATTTTTTTGGAAAATTACGAGAGAGAAAAAAATAAATTTTTCCAACGCTTTTCGGATTTACCGTCTTGCAGGTAGGGTCGAGAGAATTAAAAGATCTGCTTAACTTCTTATCACGGCTCGCAGACTCGGTAACCTCCGTGGCAAAATGTTTTCGGCAATTTACTCGCTCGGCTTCCGTCGGCATTTTAAACTTTTGACCTTTTACCTTTCCCTTCGTCTTTCACTTGCAAATCTTTTTCCCGTGTCTTCCTGAAATCTCTGTACGATATACCTGATCTCCCGGCGTTGATCGTATACCCTTTATTGTGTAGATAAGAGCAAGAAGGAGGGATGAAATTTATTCGAGCTTTTTTTTTTCATTATTTAAAAATATATTCATTCAAATTTTTTAATCTTACTGTATTCGCATATCGAGCGGATAACGTGGGAATTAGTTAAGCAGGGGATATAAGTTTTGATAAGACTAATTTCTAATGTGAATTGAACAATTATTCATTATACCCTAATTAGACACTTAATTATACAATCTTAATTAATACTTTATACGAATCCACCCTTTAAATAGTCTTCGAATAGAATTGAACTTGCTCGAATACTCATGATTCTTAACCGATACCTCCCACCATAGAGCACCCCTTACCTTAAGTGGGTTCATTAGCTACCCTTATCAAATAAGGGTGTATAGCTCGATTATAATAACAATAGATATGTTTAACTGTCAAACAGATTAAAATTGGGACGATCCTTGATATAACCTAAAAAGGTCTCCACTAGGTGTATATATGTATATATATTATTGTATATAGATATCGGCAAGACCGCCAGAGCAGTGATTACATTTAATTGTTAAGAAAATTACACCTTTCGCTGCAATTTTTATCCGGCTCGACTACCATTCCGATACTTTTAATTATTCGGAAAAAGTTATTTCCGATATCCTCTTGTTGGAGCAGGAGCTACTTATCGTTTTATTTATTTTTTTCTTCGTGTTTTCTTATTCCTTCAATTCTACTACGTCATTTCTTCGATGGCTTCTTATTTGAGTATAGTTACGAGAACAGAGCATAGATATACTTGGTTAAGCTCAAGTTATTTCACCCCTATTTTTCCAAGATCAGATATCGTTACTAGCTACGCGGTACGTAGCGAAAATCCAGTAAACGAAAGAAACATCACGTGTTCGCAAAACGTGCAGTTACGTTGAAAATGCTACCCCCGCGTGAAAATGGGCCGATTTCGTAGGACGAATGGAACGTAAAAGCCTGATCGTTAGCAATATACTCGAGGGTTCGTTTAACGATCGCTCGTTCGCCGATGCCGATATTCCCGCGATCAAATCTCCCCAGTAGCCATTTGCAGTCCCTAGAGCAACGTTAGAGCCCATACAAAGAAGGATTTTCGAGTGACCAGTGAAGTTGAAAAATGGTTAGTGGATTCGATATAGCAAGGGATGAAAATAAGTCAAATTAATAAAAAAAGGGATTATTTTCAAAAACTCTTTCCCTGTACATCAGAATATACCATAGCTCCGAGGTGGCAGTACGAAAATTGAATCCAGGGCAGCCAACCCTTGACTTATTAAATATTAGGGCAGGTTGCCAACTCGGTCCTTTTTCGGCAGGTCAGACTTGTCGATTAGTCTTGAACTGTCTAGGGGTTGATCGGGTCGACCCCTCGACAGTTTTATCTCTCCGTTAGGTACACGTTGGGTCCTTTCGACTTCGATCAGCGTAAGAGTTGGTACTTGAGGCGAAGAGTGTAGAGGATGCCTTGGGGTGGTTTTCATGTATTTCATGAGGTTGCAGGACAAACTGCAGATCCGTTGTGTCTACAGATATCGTTGGGTAAAAAAAATTCGTTTTTTTTTTTCATTCCTCCTCTTACCACGTTCGTAACATTAGGGTAAACGATTGGTAAAGTCATCACTACTGATCTGCGACCCCGACCGCTGCGTTTCCTGCGGTTTTCCACCGCGATCCAATCATCGCCCAAGCTTCAGGTTCGAGCCGACAATTTTATTGGCGCTGCTGTGGTATCCTTATGGGAAAAGTGGTCGGATGGTCTGTGCTATTTCTATACCCCATACCTTTGCGCGCAAGCTCCCCGAAGAAATTGAACGCTTCTGGGTAGAGAACGAAGAAAAACTTACTTATACGATATATAAGTATAAGACATATAAGTATAAGATAACTAACCTACAACGATATATATGACAAGACCCCCTGTTAACAAATAAATATATAAACTGGAGTAAGTTGGATTGTGAACTTTGACCTATGAAAATCTCAAATTATCCATACGCATCTACCGAATGGATTTTGTATAAAAACTCCACAGGAGTGAAAATTTTTGTTGAAAACGGGTTACGGAAGGGGGGAGGGGGGGGACGAATAAAAGAATCATAGCTCTATAAGATATATCCTGTAAAATTTATATTGGCTTAAAATTCGTTTTTCGGTTAATTATTCGCGGTATAATTGAATCGGATATAGATTTTAGGTATCGTAACGATCATTATAAACGTAATGTAAATTTGTATCGCGGTGGGTACAGATGCCGTGTATATTTTTATGAAGTCCTTCCGGTCTATGAGGTTGAGGGTGACAATGACAATGAGAATTAATTCTTAGCTGCTACGGGTATCCGTATCGTTGGGCTTAACGAGTGTCGTATAATAAATTAAGGTTATGGTTTCCATAAACGCGGCCTCCTTCTCACCTCTGACGTTATATTCAACTGAGGATATGTTTCGGTTGGGTTGCTGGATGCCCGACTGGCTACTAGGCACTGGTGTAACTACTGTAACTAATTCAACTTGAAATTACCCTCTCCTTTGAACCCCCATAGAAATTCATCAGACCTCGGGTGCCAGCGTTCTCTCTGAGCGTGCAATACGGACCGAAGTTGGAATTAAAAAAAATGCCTTGTTACTTATGGGGATCAAAGTGTCAGGGATTTGCGATGCATCGAACGGCACAAAGGATAAAAACACAGTGTAGGGGAGAAATGAGAAAAAAATGTGGTTAACGGGAAAGTAGAAAGTTCGCGATAAAAAAAAATTGAAAAGAGAAAGAGAGTGCCTTTACCCTTTTATTTTTCAAAATCTCATATCACTCGTCGATGTTGCACAAAAGAGACAAACAAAAATGGACGGAACTATTTCATCACGAACGTCGATGGTGCTTTTTTGTACACGGTAGTCCGGAGGAGTATCGACAATAACAATGCAAAAAATAACATGAACCACCCTTAACGTTCAAACTCATATATTGATTTATTCACAACGCTCGCTTGTACTCATTATACCAACCCCTATTTAGGTTGCTGCATTGCCTGGGGTGGTTATGCAAATATTTTGTGCGTAAGTCCGAAAGAGGTTGAAAACTCTTCCGAAAATAGAAGGAAAAAAAAAAAAATAATGAAAAGGACAGAGGAAACGAGTACAAAATGTTCCCAGTGGTCGTTTCATCCCTTTGTGTAAGTCCTTTCACGTGTCTCTTCCTATGCGAGGAGGCGTAGAATATCCTCAGGAGGCGCAGCTACCCTATCCTTGGAATTATCCTTCGTCTGGGACCACCTCTTCGTCGAATCTGTACTTACGAGAGGATTGTTCTCTTCCACGCCATTCCTCTCTCTCTCTCTCTCTCTCTCTTGTGAGTAGTGAGTAGTGTGAGGTATCATTCGTGGTGATTTTCGCTCCTTATCTTTTCGACAAATTTGACGTTAATTTACACATTCCGTTGCTGGAAAGCTTATTAGTAAGTGGTGCAGTGTGAATTCTTTCGTTTCCTTATAATAACATACAAAGTGGATAAGAATAAAATCATATTTTTGCCAAATAATTACTCTGGGAAATAGTGGTTAATTTTGTCACTGGTAATATAAGCACTTGTTAGACCTCAAAGTGTTTATTTTGGGAGTGTGGCAAGTGGCGCGTCGATTGTTGTGGGCCTAAACAGTGTATACAGACACAAATTCTACCTTTCCATCAGGTGTTAATTATCTATTTACCAAGTTACGTCGCAAGTACGGTCTTACTGTCATATCGACTCCCTATACTCATCTTCAATCTCACGATATGCCGAAGCCATCGTGTGCCTTTCTCTCTCTCTCTCTCTCTCTCTCTCTCTCTCTAACGCACAGACAGATGTATGCCCATTGTTCTCCAGCTTGCACGAACAATTGTATTGCGAGAAGTTTACATTGAAATTGTTCGAAATCGTGGTTCGGCCAACCTTCGTGTAAACCCGTCGAAAACCAAGGCTGATGTTAGGGTCTTCCAGATATGTAAATACTCCTCCGGTTGATGACATCTTCGACACGAGATGCGACGATCTTACACGGGGTTGGTACAAGGTCTAGGGGTATAAACAAGCCCAAAACTGAACGGACGTGATCAGGTCTATACTATTTTTAATAAAATTCACAAGACACTGTACCAACCGAAGCGTCATTTTCCCTTAACAAAGGGCCAGCGTCGCCGGCTCGTTCCGTCGGACCAAAGAGAATCTGAGGTTGCAGCAAACATTTAACCGGTCCGTTCGTCCCGTCCCAGGTGCGAATAAACCGGAGTGCATTGCTCGGCACTTCTGGTCTCTTGGCTAGAAGAAAGCAGACTTTATTTCCCTGGGATCTTTATCCCCCAGATGATTTTTTCCAAGAGTACCAACCTTCTCCAGAGAATTAAACTTCGCGTCATCCAGTTCCACGTCAGCTCCTAACACTCGTTCGTTTGCTTCCAACTTGATAGTTTTTCTTTACTTTATCAACAGTCGCTGCTAGCGTCCGATATTAGATTTTCGAATTCGCCTCCGACTGCCATTTGTGAAAAGTGCACGCTGGTCGCATTTAAAAAAAGCACTACGTACCTTTCTGGTTTCATCTTACAACTGCTATAGGTCCGTCCAGGTTGATTACAAGCTTATATACTTAGGCTAACTTAATAAAATTCTCTAAAATTCTCTTTGTCCTACTTCATATATTTTTTGCTTTATACTTAAAAGGGTCTAGTAACTCTAGTAAAATAAATGTTCATCCCCCCCTCCCCCCTTTCTCTCTCTCTCTCTCTCACTCTGACGTCACCCTCCACTCTCTTGTTCCCTTTACCCATATGGCCTTTAGTCTCGTCCATGTCCACGAGCTACGCAGGTCGATTAGACGTTATTGATAGGGGTGGTCGGGCTCTTCTAGATCCAAATAGCAAGAAGGGGTTGCTTCTGAACGTCCACCCTCGAAACCGGCATTATTGATGCGCCAGTCACAATAGGAGCCTACACTAACTACCCGGTAACTCCACCTAATGGATGGTTCCGTAGATGTTACAGGTTCTCAATGGCAAATTACTAATGGCCATACTGAACGGTTCTTACATCCCCATAATAAAAGGTTGCATAACCGCAGAAGAAAAATCACTTTTATCTCCAATCCCAAACCGCTGAAAGTCCAAACAAATAATATTACGATAAATCATCCGTTTCAATTACACCAATATTGTTCAATTAATCAACGACCCAATCCCATCGATAGAGAAAACCATTTTTATCAGTCGCTATAGGTTTAAATGGATATTAACTACGATCCGACAGCAGCCACGAGTAATGGTCTTATATATCCGATCTGAAACTATTCCGTCACACTGTATACATCTACCCAACATGCTACAGTCAAACTTCTTTACTGCCCGATACGCCAACACACACCCGTTATACGAGATACACGTAAAGTGCCGTGGTATATATGTACTTAGTACGATTCCGTAGTAACATCTCTATTGTATCCTGTGTCCATCTCTGCTAACAAGAGTGAGAGAGACATAACGATAATAGTACACGTTGTACCACTGCATGGTTTAACAAACACTAAGCATCGTGTGCCCCTTTGGTCTTAGTATTTATATACCCTGTGACGCTATGAATTTATACATGTATATGGACCATATGCATACCATAAGTGAACATTTAGGTATATGGGCACTCGTGCGAATTCCCTGTACGAATTTTCAGTGTGTTCGTAGTTTGTATAATTTTGGGTCTACGATTCTCTTTGTCGCGTGTCATTGTGTCGTATGTTCATATATACATATAAATACGAATGTGCCTTTTGATGATCCTGTCCGAGCAACCGATCCATTTACCAAGTGTAACTAAGCAAATTCAGTGTCCAGCTTCTTTGCCTTTGATAAAAGGACTTGGCGCGTTGTTCATCTTGTCGTCACGTGTATACAGTAGGTTCCAGCATAATTGCAACTGTGTGTGATTAATCGATCGCTCTACCAACCCGAATCGGAGACAAGTTGGCGGCAGCTCGTTAATTATGTTCAGAGAGTTGATGGATTCGTGTTATTCTTGGGATATAGATGTATGTTTATAACGTGTGTATTAGGTATACAGGGTGTCTCAAAATTTATGTACTTTCGGGGGATGACCGTGTTCGGGAGGCATCAAGGATCATGGAAATGATCTTTTTTTCTGTAGAAGTTCTTAGTCTTCAAATGGGAGCAGGTCTAATGGGATTCATCTACGTTTCAGGCACGGGTTTTCGTCCGACCGAACGCGTCGCTCGAAACGATTGCGGATCACAGGATCCGCGTGAAGCTGCTATGCGAAGCCAAGGCGTATCGGTGGTCTGTCAAATAATGCAGTTAGTGCTCGGACCGTGAATCAATTGATATTTCGCGTGATCTGTCTGTAGCATGTGCAGCCTCATCGCTGCCGTGAAAGAAACAGAAGCAAGGGAAGAAATCTCAAGGTCTGTAGATGCCTACCGTTTCTTCTTCTGGACAGAAAAAGAATCATCTTCGTGATCTCTTATGCCTCCCGAACACAGCCATGACCCATGGGTACATGAATTTTGGGACAGCCTATATGTATATATATCCATTTGACATTTGAAGGTTGATGTTCCTGCATCTTTGGAGTCTGTCCGTGTTTACGCATATAGGTATACGTCGTATGATAGCAGTATTGTCGCTGCGGTGCGTTGCTGACTTGAAGTTTAGCGAACTTTTAATTTCTTCCTGCTATCAATATTATCGCACGGTCAAGGGGTGGCTTTGGGATTGTTGGTGAACGGGACTTTTCGAATTTCGTGGCTTATCTTGCCAACAGTAACAGCCTGTAACGAAATGATAACACGTACCGCGCATTGGTTATCATGGAGTATCATCGGTTACCGTCGTTGCAGTAGCAAAGATCGACCCTCAGATATTTACAGAGCCAGTGTGGAACTTCGTTACGTTCATCAGCAACTTCCTGTAACATAATATAGCATACTATTAAAATATGTATAATAATTATCTTTTTTATTCACTACGAAGAATCCTGGTCAAGAGATACATAAGCTCATGTAACGGGATAAAATTTGTAAACGCGATAGCCGATTAATATGCAATTTGCTCTGTAAGCTTCAAGTGATTTAATTTAATAATATTTTGTCTATAAACGTATTTACCTCTTTCGGACGACACAGGGTGTTGTTGGTATAGGATTAATTCTATTAAATGTAATAATAATAAGTCGCTGCTTGCCATTTTGCGGATCGTTCAACCCGCGCCAAAGGTTTCCTTCCGGTTCTCATGAAATTCCATATCAGCTACAAGAACAGAGAATGGTCCGTTGTAGGAACGCGTTTGCTATGTTCACAGTGAACCAGAGCCATTAACGTCTTGTACTATACTTCCGTCTAAAGTAACCGACAGCCAATCCCGTGTCCTGGTAAGCTGGCAAGAACCAATTGGATCGACTGTATAAGCTCGTACACGGTCCTTTCACGTGCTCTATCTGTATATATAGAAAAAGCAGAGCTATCAAAGAATTCGTTATTCGATATCACAGCGAAGTAAGACGATTTTCACGTATACCCATAATACCTCTTGACGTTGACCGATGACATCGAATATATTCCTTCGGTCGTTCTCTAACGACACTTTTATGCTGCGGCTAACCTCTTCTCGCGAGAAAACTTTTGCCCCATGAATCTTTCATGAGAAACGCACGAGCAACGATACAGCCGTCAATTGGTCGCGTATACCAGGTACCCCCTTTCCTATTCGTTTATACGTATCGACTGGTAATACTTTAACAGGGTTCGTAATATGTATTAATAGAGACTCATCTAGGATACCTAGTTGACAACGTCTTCCTCCTGACAGCTCACGTTGTCAGTGAACCCTCGCTAATCCAGATAGCACGCCGCTCAATCATCCATAATCTTGAGGTGGGTGAGAGACAGTTTCTGGGTGCACCGAAGCAGGGCCATGTTGACAGAATAAGGGAGACAGTTTATAGGTTACAAGGAACATGCAGTATTGTCGGGAGTCGCTTACCTGCCATTCTATCTCGGCGATCGAAGTAACGTTGAGGAATGTTGATGATGAGATTTATATGTGGGTGGGACGCAGCTAGGACTTCAGTGGCACAAGAGAACGGAACATTTATTGGTTACGTTTCACTGAAAAGAGCGAGGAATGCAGCCATGACGCTGATTCTGGTAACGATGATGATTAGGTTATGCTCGTTATACTGTATGCACGACTATAGTCAATTAATGCACTTCTTGTATATGTATTAATATGAAAAATCCTTCACACAATTATATTTGACTGCGATACTTCATAAGGGACGATGTATTTATCAACGGCGGTACGCAGTGTGTATAATAAACAATAGCCTGGAAAGACTGATAATACGAAAGTGTTACGGTATCTGGGTACGTACATAGATATATACAGTACTGTTATAGCGTTGGATATAAGCAATTCATCAAGAGCGTGTATTCGTACTGGGATGAAATAACGAGGTTACGATAGTGCATCTATTTTTTTAAGGATGCATGTCATCGATCATAGGGGTTACCTACACGTTCATTAATTTAAACCTGTTAGTGTATTCAGTTAAGTAGAAGGCTCTTTGTTGAGAGATATTAAAGGAAATTTTATTGTGTGATGCAAAAGCTAAGAAAGAACATTCTAATTCTACTCTAAAGGTAATTATTATATTTATGGACACGTACGTGTATAGAGCAGAACGTCGCGCCTGCGCACTGATTCGGAATCTCTGGCTGGGGAAAAGCGAGTCCGAGCTGCGCGGCCGGTAATGCAGTTTCAAGTCTCGGCCGCCCGTACCTACCGACCTAACCTGTACAGTCTAGATTCAGAGCTTTGTACCTTCCATATCCTATACCGTGGACTTCAGCTACGAGCCGCATCCCTTCCATCATCCGACACTTTCGTACTGGGGCTGCTGGTCCTGCGCCCTGCGGATGCTGCGAAATCCTTCACCGCACCTCACCCCGTACCAACCATCGTGGACTAGTGAGAGCTGGGCTGTCGCCATAGCCGCTCACGGGTTTACACGGTTTAACCGCTGTTACCGCACGACACTTAACCACCGTGAACGAGAAAATCGTGCCGATTCTTTGTAAACGATTTCCGGTAACCTTAAATTGTGACATTGGTGAGACATTGAGCCTCGTCTTGTACTCGTCGCCCAGTCTGGTGGACTTATCGTGAGCTGTACACTACTTATCTACCTACATCGCCTACCAATTCTACCTATCTACCTTGCCTTCCTTGACTCGTTCCCTTCTACGTGGCACTTAACGTGCGGGGCGCAGAAGCTTGCCAGTTTTTCGGTACACGGGATCGACGATATCTCAGTATTTTTTGCCTTTTTTTTCGCTTTCTGTCTCGTCAGTATCCTTGACAGTTATTCTTCTTGGGACGTTACACGTGTCGTGATACCATAGGATGATTCTTGCAGAGAGCAGCTACCAGAGTGGTTTGTCATACGGGAACCTTATCTTTACTTTTTCATATATTTTTAAACGGTAATTAATCAATATTTCTTAGACATATAGACCAAATTTTTTGATCGATCCTTTTAATCAGTTTTATACATATTCTTGATAGTAGATACGTTAGTCGGTTTTGGTAAGGAAAATTGCATTTTTCCAGTATCAAATCATTATTGGCATTGGGAATAAGACGTTAATGTAAAATGACAGTATAATTATTTTTATAAATATTGATAAAGAAATTTTTGAATTTTACAAGGAAACAGCGTTGCTAGGTGAGTCAACTCGTTGATCAGTCAATTCAAACACACTTGGCAATTCGGTCGAGGCAAGTGGGAATTTCATATAATTAATTTCTGTGTTCCTCTATTTTCATCTTTGTTGGGGGAATATCTCGAAATCTCAAGTCGATTCTCACTGAGCGCAATTTCCTAAGAGACGAGGTACAACAGAGGTCACGAGTATCCGGTTAAAGTATCATGTGAAGTGTGTTGCTAAGGTTGTCAGTGAAAATTAAAGCAGTGCCTCTGACGGAATAAGGAACATTGCTGCCCTGGCATCGTAAACGCGTAAGTACATACTATACATAAAACCTTATCTGAGGACTATGTAATGTACAATATAAGATATATATAGGACAATGGGATAAAGTAATTCATTAAATAAATAGTGAGGTCATAAAATGAACAATACAACAGTACTTTATTGCTAGGATTGAGGGGGAGTAAGAAATACAAAGCTTCTTATATTTATATATATGTCTGTATTTATATAATAATAATGCTAACAATAGAACTACAATAGGAATAGCTAAATGACTTATGGTATCATTTAAAATAGTGCAGTATTTATAAATTTAATAATTTTTTTCCTTATCCCCTAATTCTATAAATTTTCTATTTTATTGGCAAAGTTAAAATGACAGGGTGTTAAATTTTCTAGTTCGACGGGAGCTACGTTCGAGTAGATGGTGCTCGAGTGTCAGCCAGGGCACTTATCAATTTCAAATTCGAGTAGCGTAGCGAGCTTTGCAATTGGCACGCCTGACTCGGATTGGTACGACTGTACTAATTCACAGAGTGAAATTCGATGATGGGATTAAAATACAGACGTGGAATAAAAGTGTAATAAAGTATAGAGTAGAAATACTGATGATTAGTTTACACGTTTCGACTGTACCTCGTGTAAAGAGAATTCTTGGAAGAAGGGTCGAGGCTGGTATGTCAGCCATAACATTAAATCACGACTTACCTGGCTGTTGTTTTGAAAAGGTCTGGGTGGCAATGCGCGCCGCATTTGAAATTCGAATTTAACAACGATTCCCCGGTGGAAAATTTTGCGGTAGGAAAGAGTTAACGATGTGAAGTTTTTCACGAAAATTTTTCAAATATACTTGGAATATATATAAATTTTTATGTTTCTCTCCTTGAACAGCCCCGTGCATTCCGTGACCTTGACATTTCTTTTTATACCGTATCGCATTTTAATATTTTTGCCCCTTCTTACCCCGCTTTCTCGTCCAACCGTATCGTTTTAGCCAAGTGTCTCGAAAAACATGGCAGCTTCATTCAAATCGATGCAAGCAATATTTTTCTATCGACTCGATATTGGAAACGTTCATTTACCTTCGTAAAATCTTTTATGCTCTCCTCCCATTTTTCTTCCCCTCGCTGTCCCTCTCACTCATATCCACGTTATACCCCTAGCTGTCTTACGCCTAAGCTCATTCCTGCCAACGGAGGAACGAAGAAGTCGCGATTTTCGCTCGAGGGATTGCGGCATCTTAAATCGCGCGAGTAAACTCTGGAAAATGGATAACGAAGGCGGCCGTAAAAGCGACTCTGTGACTCGAGACACTTCAGGTATCTGGGCGCAAGTTTTTACAGTAAATAAAAGCAAGAATACTGGTGCCGGAGCTCTGCAGGCGTCTAGTTTATTTCTGGACAATCCACTCGATAGGACTCTCTTATCTGGTAAATAAATCAAGAAAATCATCAATGCTTTAGAAGGCAAACCTCTTATTTTTATTATTATTAATATTCTTACAACCAGCTTTCTTACTTTCATATTCCTTAACGCGTTACTCCGACTTGGCGTCTATCTATCTGTCTGTCTGTCTGACTGTCCACGTGTCTAAGTATCCGCTTAGCAACATAACCTATCTAGCCGTTAACCTCGTCGTATGTAGGTGAGCAGTTTCGTGTAGTCACGACTCGTCGGTAATAAACGTTATGGCAATTAATAGAAAAAAAAAACCTTTTATTAAAACACGAATCTAATTTTATTTTGTTTTTTTTTTTTCTTTAATTTTACTTTCAGTCGAATAACCGTTCCCGCGTATTAACGTGAGCTATGGTAAGCCGTGAAAAATCATCAATTATTCTTCTTATTCGAAAGGAAAATTTTTTCCAGTAAAAAAACTAGGCAATTGACAAGCAACCCTTATAGCAGGATATACGTGTTGTATTTACAGAACGCGAAAGAATTACTTGCACGTGTAACGACGATCGTCACTATCTATTGGCATTCACGTGGCAGTCGTCGATTTTTAAACCGAGACGAGTACCAACGTTTAAAAAAAAGGAACAAAATAAAAAATAAATACTGGGTAAAAAAAACGAAAAGTGAATTCTATAGGAACGCGAGATGGAAAACTCAACCGTAGAAATAAACGCCGTTCAATTCGTATCAGCGTTAACCGTCAATTCAACTGACGGGACATTTCCGATCGTTTCTGTTGATATCATTTTGTCAATTCTTATCACGGTCCGTACGCGATAAGCGAACTTCGATGGAACGCGCATGCATGTGTGGAATCCATTAAAATTCAAAAAGACAACCAGTACCAGTATACCTGGTGTGACAGAAAAATACGTATTCCAAAATATCGTTTTGGTGGATAAAAAAAATTTTCGAACCAAAAAAATACAAAAGAATTACGTATTTCCTAAGCTAGCTAAGCTTACGATGTAATTTGTAACGTTTACTTTGCGCCACCCAGTTTTACTCTGCGACCTTCCACCTTTGTCTCGGTAGTCAGTAGTATAACCTTTAGAGACTCCACTTAGTAGCTTACTCACTCGTATATGAAGCAGTTACCTGCGCCCAGGAGTATTTTATCGGGTCGAATTAGAAAAAGGCGAGCATTTGATTGCCGGTACAGTCCATGAAAAAATGATTTTTCTCTTGAAACAAAAGAAAAAGGTTACCAAGTTATTGCGAGTTGGTATACCTGATTATCTAACTAGATACCGTTATCTCCTCATTCTGCATTCTCTCTGTACCAGAATTTTTTTTTTTGACATTTTGTGGAAACAATGACTTTTTTTCATCAAATAACTCGATGGTATCGAGCTACACGGCTTTCATCCCTTAATTGATCCGATGCTGGCTACATTCATTATCTTTGACTCAACTGCCATGACGCTAAGATAACTTCCGGTGGAAGATCAGCTTACAAAACTTATCCGTTCTTCGATTTCTGTTGGGATTTTATTTCCCCCTTGGCTGATTTCAGTTTTCCTCCGCCTACTCAGCTTCCACCTTTTGCGTCTATCTGAGCTTTTCCCGTTCACCGTCATCGGTCCAGTCGTTACGTGTCTACGTCTTCTGAATTCATACCGCAGTCTGTGAGATGTTGATTTTTTTCTATATTCTTTTTTTTACAATACCAATCATACGTGTGTCAATTAGAAATTAATTTTTAAAAATTTTTCAGTACTCATGGTTTCCGGACGGAAGCCGCGTAC